TCCAGAGTATGGGTCTCTGCCATTGCCCGTTGGTTGCACGCGTTTGGGGAACCCCCGCGGGTCAATCCACCATTGGTCCGATGTCTTAATTTTGCTCAGTACACAGCCACAACAATGCCGTATCGCAGGGGATATCAACCTCAGCATTGTGGGCATACAGTAGCTGAAAATTTGCATACTAAAGTGATACAGATTATATTCTTCCGTGGCGAAACCATATAGATACTCTTTCAAACTACACTGGTACTAGTATTTTCACTACCAATCTTGATTGACATTTCTTTCATTTGTGGTCACCAATTCATTATAAATCAACCAACGAATACCACACAATGCTATTGACTCAATGAGATGAGATCTTCACCAGCAAAAAGTCCGTCCTTAACATGCTCACGCACAGCAAGTCGGAGCGGGGGCGGGCTTGTCTATTCGTAAATTGCTGTTAGATTAATAATTTTGTGACATTGGTTTTCAATTTACTTACGATCGGCACAGAACCGGGATTGAGCAACGGCCCATTTTCCACAATCAGTCACGGCGCAACGCTGGCTTGAGGCAACCTCATTCATTGGCTGAGAGTCAGTCGACGAGGTAGCGTTGACGAGAATCGATTCAACGTAGTGGGACATGGTGAATTCGGAGGCTTTTGTTATTGGTAGGTAGAAAGTTCGACGAGTAGTTGTTGGAAGATGTGATGGGAGGAGCTTCAAGGGGGTTTCGTCCAGCTTTTATATGGGAGAATCTCTCAGCAGTGTAGGAAGGCAAATATTTAGACCTAACAAAAAGTGGACGATTCCGCATAAATTTTTTTCTTGCCATCATATGCAATTATCTTTCTTGCCTAAAAAGCTCCAAGCTTGGTTGTATTTTACGCACAGGCTCAGGGTTTGCATCACATCATTCCTTTTTAGTCCCATCTTGTCCGGGCGGACAAGATGGGACTAAAAAGGAATAGTAATTAGCTAAAATGCTTGGATTCTTGACCAACTATTGGTCTGTTCGTTCAAGAGCTT